AGAATGGTAAAGGATCTCTTTGGACAGCTTTCTGCAGTTTCTTCGCTGAAGTACTTTCCAATCTGATTTTCTTAAGTCCCCATGGCTTCTCGTTTAGAATTGGGAGTTCTATCTACGCCTTTCCTATACCTCCCATCTTCTCCTGTACTTTGCCTGTGTTCCCCGAAAACAAGATCAGACAGGGATTTGGATTTTTATGTAAATCCTTTTCATTTTAAAAACACTGGAAACCATTCCAGTTTGTTTTCTTTATAATATTTTTAGATAGTTGCCTGAATGTCTACAGTGTGACTACTCCCTGAATTTTTTCCAAGTCACTTTTAGAACAGAGGGAAAACATATAACTAGTAAAGACTTTGTAGGCATTGAAGTATTATTTACAAAAGAACATTTTAATGTAATACTCCCACTTTATCTCAATTCTAATCATTCTGGCTGATGTCATTTGGAAGTATAATTTATTGGGCTGGAAAGATGGCTTAGCAGTTGAGAGCACTTACTGACCTTCTAGAGGATCAGGGTTCTGTTCTCAGCATCCACATCAGGTGGCTCGTGACTGCCTGCAACTCTGATTCCAGTGGATCTAAGATCTCTGACCTTTGTGGGCACCTGCACACCCAAGGTACACATATACTCATGCAGGCACACATACATACACATACATAAAAGCAAATCATTTTGAAGATTTTAATTTTAGTTATGTGTGTATGTATGGGTCTGTGTAAGTGAGTAAGTACAATTGCCAATAGGGGCTACAATATCCCTCCTGTTGCAAGAGGAGATCACTTGTTTCCCGGCCACCCTGTAGCTGAGACCTGAAATAACCACTCAGAAACCATATTATTAAATCAGTACTTGGCCTATTAGTTCTAACTTCTTATTGGCTAACTCTTACATATTAATTTAACCCATTTCTATTCACCTGTGTATCAACACATGGCTATGGCTTACCAGCTAAATTTCCGGCATCTGTTTCTGGCCAGGCTCTCCCTGACTCTGCCTTCTTCCTCCCAGCATTCAGTTTAGTTTTCCCTGCCTAGCTAAGTTCTACCCTATAAGGCCAAGCCAATTTCTTTATTCACCAATGCTTTTCACAGCATACAGAAGAGAATTTTATATCACCCTTCCTCTGGAGCTAGAGGTACAGAGGTTGTATGAGCCCCCCGCAACAGGGTTATGAGGATCTGAATTTGGGTCACCTGCAAGATCAATACATGTGCTTAATCACTGACCCATCTCTCCAACCCCGTAAATTGTTTTTAAAAGAAAAAAAAACAATATATATTCATTTATTTCACTAAAGTTAATTTCCTAAGAGTAATAGTTAACAGCTAAATTCTGACTTCCAAATCAAAGTTTTTATTTTCAAAAACAGAATCACCAGAAATTTGGATATGCTTTTAACACTAACACACACACATCACACACATATACATATACAATTGCTTATTTCATAATAAATTGAAATAAATAAGTTGAAAACCTTAAGATGTTTGTGAATTTTTTCTTTGTTAACTTTGCTATCTCAGGTCTTCTGTTCTATTTACTGATGGAATTCTCCTTTTAATTAGAAATTTTAATCTTAATTTGGTAGTCTTAAAAATATTTACTGTTAATTTTCTTTCACCTTTAAAATATTCTAAACTATTATAAGTAATACTGATAGAATGTGTGCTACCTCATTGGAGTTAACATATCTATCAAATGATTCCACAAAGAAATCAATGATGTCCTAAAATTAAATTGGACAATTCTGTTAATATTTTTGCTTAATGCATAAGAGAGCCTACTTGGTACCGTTGGCTCAGCATTTTACAACATACTGAACAGATGATTTATTTGGTTGAAATTTTTGAAAACACTGCTGGGGATCTGTCCTGGATGCTAGGCAATAGATCATGTTAACTTTTAGGCCATGCTGTTGGAATTGGTGACAAAGGCTGACTATAGTTTTCTTTATGTAATCCTTTGACCATGACATTTTCTCCCCATTTGTTAGCTTTGTAGCTGTGTGTGCTACGCTTACTATTTTGATACCCACATCATAATATAAAATCCTTTCTAATGAATAAAAAACTGATTTGAAGAAGTACAAAGTATGGATAAAGGTGTCTAGACCCATGTACAGCAGGTTTCACATGTGTGGCTGTGGTATCATCTATGAGCTGAAAGGCAGCTGAACGTTAGCATGTCATTCCCTTGGGATGAAGGGTTCCATAATGGGCTGTGGTCCAAGTTCTTGGTAAAAGCAATTGCCGCTGCTTAAATAGAAGAGGGAAATGAATACTACTTCCCCCTTTTAAGGCTATACACATGCACAATGAATGTTCATCATGAGTGTGAAAGGCAGTGACCCTAATGTTAACTTATAACCTGAAAATCCCAACAGGTACATGTGCACATTGAAATGCTGGGAAACTAAAGTTGTATATCTTTCTTTAAAATAACATTTACAACCAGGCTCATGAAACATGATGGTCTAAGACTCCATTTGTAAAAGTAGAATTCTGACATCCAGGCTCTTGTTCAGTGAGTAGGCAGAATGGTTCCCTGAATTGGAAAAGGCAGTACATGCCACAGTGACTGAACCCGCTGTGCATGCAGGAGAGTCGGCTCTATTCCTAGAGTCTGCCTCCTATTTTCTGTCTTTGAAAATGAACTCCTGGCTGTCCTCTGACCTCAGCACATGAATATAATTATAATGAAGAAAAAAAGATACCTTACAGGTGGGCAAAAGGCAAATTTAATGTAAGAATTTCTCTTCTCATTATAGACAAACTATACAGGAAATCAGATCAGTAAGTAATGTGCTCAGATTCATAGGTGACATTTCCAGTCTATTCTGAGGGCCTGAATTTCAAGCATTGGCTGAATAATTTTCATCGTTTCCCTTTATGCTCTCAGGTCATTGTGTGGGTATTGTATCTGAACTGCAGTGCTTAATTTACTATGGTGTATATGTGAGCAACAAGGAATTAGAACACTTTATTTCTTGTTTTCTCTCTTTACATTTGAAAACATAATGCAGTCTGTTAAGATAAACAAGTGCCTATTGGCTTTTACAAAGAATAGAATCCCATCTTGTCTGTTCTGTAAGGATGACATTGACAGGGAGCTGAAGAGATGGCTCAGTGGTTGAGAATATTTGCTACCCTTCCAGAGGAGAGGTCCTAAGTTCAATTACCAGCAACTACATGGCAGTTCGCAACCATCTATAGTGGGATCTGATGCCCTCTTCTGGCATAAATTTGTACATACATATTGAGTACACATACATTAAATAAGTAAATAATGCTAATATTGCAAATGGGGAAGCAGACGATGCTTAACCTTAATTTATGCTGAGTATCTACATACAGTGCTTGTTAAATTACTAGTAACTAATTTGTTTTTTAAATGTAAAATAATTAAGTTACCAAGCTTGGCGTTCTCAAACATACAAATATAATTAATTATATAGTCTTAAACTACTTTTTACATCTATCATATATTTTGCTCTTCAGTTTAAAAAATACTGATTTGTAATGTGCTTTATGGTGAGAAATATGGAATTATAACTGTACTTGGAAAGTAATTTAATATAAAAACCTCTTAAACAGTTGTTTGGAAATATTGATCAGTGAGCAAATTCTATCTTTAAGACTCAGATCGAAACTTTTTTTTCCTATTTTTTTTATTTATTAAAGATTTCTGTCTCTTCCCCACCTCCGCCTCCCCTTTCCCTCCCCCTTCCCCAATCAAGTCCAGATCCTCCATTTTTTGACAATTCCTGTTTATTTTTTATGTGCATTGGTGTTATGTTTGTTAATATGTCTGTATAAGGTTGTTGGATCCCCTAGAACTGAGGTTACAGACAGTTGTGAGCTACCATGTGGTTGCTGGGAATTGATCCTGGGTCTTCTAGAAGAGAAGCCAGTGCTCCTAATCTCTAAGTCATCTATCCAGTCTCTGTGTCTCCATTTTTAAAACTGTATTTTGAGAAGGAAATTATGATTGGAATTGAGTAAATGAATTTCTTTACTCCGTTTTTAGAAGTTGGATATCCAGCATCTAGTATGGAACCCTGTCGGTGTCTCCAGTGTCCCTTCAGACTTAAGTGACAAATGAGAGTAAGGTTTATGCTTTCTTCAGTTTAGGGAAGTTTACTCTAAGGGAAAGCTAGTGTCTATAGGAAGAACAAGCCAGCTTTTCCAGGCACCAGCTAGCATTAGACTGAATTGTTTGGTCTCCATCCTCAGATGCTTCTTTGAAGCATTGTTCTGGTTTGGACACTCACTGTCTTGCCTCATGCTTCGTAATTCACTGGACATCGTTGTTTTGTTTTGTTTGTTTGTTTGTTTGTTTGTTTTTTGACTAGACAGCTTAGGTATCAAATTTCCTTGTAAATTTTATACAAAGGTAAAAAATTATTTTATTTCTATTAGCTTCCATGGATAAAATAATAAACACTGAAGTCTTTTTTAAGCCATAAAACTTAATTTAGTCTATAATTTTCCTAAAGGCTGAGCAAGTTAATTTCTATCATGACAGACAACTATATTTTTATACTCTTTTTTAAAGCCAGCTGGTGGATCTTTGGTTTATCATTGACTGCCATCTAGTGGGTCAAACTATTCTTTCACAATAAACCATTAAACTTGAGTGACTCGTTTCTGTATGGAATCCTTACCATTTTCGGTGCCTTTGTTTTCACTGACTGCTGTGTTTCACCAACTAATTTCTAAAGTCGCTGGGTCATTTTGGTGATGATAAGCCTTAAAGCAGCCTTAAAGCCTTAAAGTATAAATAGTATAAATGGTTCATATCAAGTCACATTGAATAAACTGATCTCATCGACAGCTTTTGAACTTTGGTGATTAAAGTTGACATCTATGTAAATTATTATTTCAATAATTATTATTTATAATAATTTTAATATTTAATTATTTTAATAACCACTGCTTCTCATTAATTATACACTCTACCTACTTTTAAGATATTTTTCTCTTATTTCTTTGCAGATGCTACAACTGCGGTGGCCTTGACCATCATGCTAAAGAATGTAGTCTACCTCCTCAGCCAAAGAAGTGCCATTACTGCCAGAGCATCATGCACATGGTAGCAAACTGCCCGCACAGGATTATCGCACAGTCGCCCGCCAGTGCTCAGGGAAGACAGGAGACAGAGTCCCAGCCGTGCACTTCCGTTTCGCCAAGAGAAGTGGGAGGGGGCCATGGCTACACATCACCTTTTCCTCAGGAGGCGAGGTCAGAGATGGCAGAGCTGTCAGACAGGTCACCCCAAGAAGTTTCTTCCACGAAGGCATTTGTAGCAACAGAAGAGCCAAACAAAAAGGGGCCTTCAATTCAGAAACGGAAAAAATCGTAATCTTGTCGGCATTTTCTTCACCCGGCTGGGAAGTCTACCTCACGCAAGCACAGGGGAATAGTATTCTACAGATAGCAGCTGACCGGGATTTTAACTACTGTTGAAGAACTGTGAATTTCTTAATCAGACAAATCATTCTTGAGCAAATTACATTTAAGCAGGGTTTCATGTTTTATAGACTCGAAATACATATAGTATGTGCTGCATAAGTGAGAAGAGAGACTTGAGTCTATATGTATGTGTGGGGATTTCACATAGGAGCACAGGTGTATACATACACATACATGTGTATAGATGTATGTGTGTATAGGCCTGTCTTTATACATGTATTATGGAGATATAAGCACATACTCTCCCACAGATAATTGGGCATCTCCAAGCATTGAAAGTCCATGTGAAGCATTTGAGGTGGTCTCAGAATTAACCCTTGGAATTTTCCCTAATTTTCTTTTATATTACATAAACATAACCTCCTGACTGTTACTTTTTTGTGAACCAAAGTATGCATCAGATCTCAGACTGCCAGTCAAATGGTACTAAAGGTTTTTGGGATACTCGGTGCCTCCCAAGTCTGGATTCACTGCTGTGTCCTGGTGCTGATGGAGTGTTTGCTTTTGCTGTTATCTGCCTTCTCCTGTTTGAAGGTGGCAACTTAACTCTAATGCCTCTGACTGCCGTAAGCTTTTTATTTTTGGATACATAACTCCAGAAAAGACAATGAATGTGAAGTTTCTGGGCTGGTATTTCAGTGTCTTTTGTTCTGATTGTGATTTACATGCCTGTTAAGAAGAATGAAGGGGAGGGTAATGTAGAAATATCATGGTGTAATCCTTTTCAGTGGTATTTTGATACCGGCTCTTTTACACATTTCTTAGGTTTTTAAGGGACTATGTCAACGGAAGCCTCCCTTGACTAAGCAGCTCCTGAACCATCACTTAGAACGGGAAGGTCTCCTTACTTACTACTGAAGCCTTAAAGGAAACTAATTATTTGGGTATATTTTAGTGGCTGTCTTTATTATCCCCATAGAATCCTCAGACCTGTTTTAAAACAAACACCATAGAAATAAAAAAATAATGGGGCTTAGAGTGAAAATTACGTAGATGCTTACATTTGCCCAACAGATACGGTCTGTGGCTGATACTAAAAAGAATAGCATTTGGTGGCAGGCAGCTAGAATGATAAGCCTGGAGCAGAATTACCAAATCCCCACTGCCATGTGGCCAGAAATACTTTCTGTGATAACACTGATGCCATGGCAGTTGCCTGGACTATAGAAGCTGAAGTAACCTAAGTTATGGATTCAGGATGAGCATTCGGCGCTATTGATAAGAATCTTCTCAGATGGATTCTCAGTTTGCGAACAGATTGTCTTAGTATAGTTCTGTTCTCCATCATATTTAAAAAAAAAAAAAAAACAAAAACAAAAACAAAAAAACTTTTGAAACATCTCCAAGAAGGTACCAAGGAATTGCAGTGCATAATTTTGGCAGTAAATATAATTTATATGGGCCTGTTGGTATAAGCTCAGATAATCATACAAGAAAGCATCGTGACTCATGAGATGCATTCTGCTGAGGAGTTCTTCCTCCGTGTGCCAGTCCTTTCCAGGTTAGCTTGAATCTCTCGACAGTATTTATGAGAATTCCCGTAGTATTCTGTTGACGTCAGTGTGCTGTAATGCAGAGCTTACTGTTGACGATATTGAATGTGACGTAGCCATAGAGAAGTACTGCCTTGCCTTATGTGATCATTTCAAGCTTATTTAAATTATGTAGACAAATCAAAGTGTCACCCAAGTATAATGAACAAAGTAACAGTTGTACAAGCAAAATATGACAGGTGACTTTGAAAGTTCAAACCAAAGTTCCTTGACTATAGAAATAGGAAATTATGGACTTGAAAATTGGACATTCTGTTTACATATGAAAATTCAGAGCTGAGATCACTTTTAAAAATTAAGTAGAAAATTCTGGAACACTTGAACTATGGACCTTATGGGTGCAGTTGACATTTTTCAGCATCTAACCAGACTGAATTACTAAGAGCACATACAGAACCTTATGGTTAAAGTTGGGGTTTATTTTTTATATGAAAATATTGTCACTGTTACATGCTCAGGACAAAGAACTTTGCTCAGGGAACATACAATATGATGTTTTTATTTTTTTTATTTTTTTTTTTTACAGACTAGTCTATCGCCCTGCCTACTCAAAACAAGCCAAATAAATTAGGTCTTTATGTTCATACATGTACTTGTTGGTAACTACCTCTGAGTTTGACTTCGATTATAATTCTGAATATCAGGTATTGGTCCTCCTGTTTTTATTTCATGTGAAAAGTCTCGTAAAGCAAACTCGTCCACTCCTTGCAGATGTGAATTCACTGATATGAGCACATTGCTCATTCCCATTGGTAAAACATTCCGTTTACAGCAAACGGCTACCTCCTAGCTATTACATAGCACACCTTGATGCTGCTGCAGCCTTATAGTAATTCTCTGGTACAGACACTTTCAATCTGTAGCATAGATAGGTGTTTACAACCGCATGTTTCTCCAAAATGCCTGTGAATAATAGGACTTCTCATGTTAGGTAGCAAAGTCTCCAAGCATTTCCTTAAAGTTAACATGTATTGAGTGTAAGGGAGTATAGGCACTCTTTATGCTAAGCAAAACAACACAGAAGCAGTCTTGAAAATAGCTCTGTTGCCCAGAGGTGGGGGCAGGAGGGTGCACAGAAGCAAACATGATGTAGAAGATTCCTACCCCCTTCACTTGTATCTTTGTTGCACTGAAGACAAAGCAGCAGCAGGCTGCCTGCCTGCCATAGAGGGAACTGAAAGTGCAGAGCCACTCCTGCCCAGGAGGGAAAGGAGTCTGTGAAGCACCATTTTTTTTCAGGGGTTCCTAATAATGGGGCGATGGTCTATGAATCGAGCTACCTTTTGACCCACCCTCCATGTCAACACAAAGGTAATTCCAAAAATGATGCCCTACCAGCCTTTTAGCCTGCAGATCCTTCATTCTCTACACAGCAGGACATAGTGGAGACGTTTTTATACTTGTATTTCTAGTCTTTGGATGTATTTTTACAAATGAATGACTTAGGGAGATTTTTATCTGCTTATAACTTAGAAATTTTAGTGTGCAATCTAAAGGAAAGGATAAAGACATCACGATATTAGCATCAGTCCACCTCCCAAATATAGGATGGTTTTTATTGCCAATTATTTTTGTACTCTGGCTCAGATTTATTTTGTACCAGTGCAGGCCTGAGATGGCACTGGTTGCACGTAGTTTGTGAATGGAAGGCCCCAAGTGTTAATAGACTTTGTGACACTCACTGTAGGAGGGATTAGACAGGATGTGGGAATCTCATTAGGTCTTAAGTTAATTTAATTTATCTGTTTTCTCTAAGAAATGTTTATCTTAATATATATATGTAATTTCACCTTTGTTATAAAATCCAGGAAATTATATGCAAGTGCAGCTGCGCCGACTTTAATTTTCTAGATGTCTTAATGAGATTTATTTGTTTTAAAGAAAGAACAACTTGTTGAAAGCATCCAGTTCTGTCTTACATACTGACAGCAGCCTCAAGATGTGCCTGTGTGAGTTGTGACCTGGTTGTTCTGTCACAGTGAGAGGGTCACCCGTGACGCATTGTGGATCTTACGCTTGGAACAAAGTACTGTACTGTGAGCAAGTATTCCTACGTTAACACGCCCGTGGCTTACCCTTGTCCGTTCCCAGCCTGAAATGATGGTGCCGACTACCTCTCCCGTCACTGACGTTGTCAACCGCAGGCGCCCACCACCAAGCTGGCTTTAATCAGTGTGTGTCTCTCGCGCTGTTAACAACTCTAGCCATATAAAGACCAAAGTGAACCCTGATTTCTGTATGTCTTTAACACGGTGTTTTATCTAGTATTTTAAAATTATCTTGTAGTGCTTAGATTATCTCATAGGCCATTTTGACTCATGTTGTTTACAAGTGAAAATTTTTAAAAATACACTTGAACTGTCGCCACAAAGAACAAGAGAGGAGCTGCTGTTAGAATGGCACTCTGCATGCCGTCACCTCAGTGGACTTCAGCTTAGCGTTGTCTTTTCATGCCGGATGTCCTACTCTCTTAGCTATCGATGTTCTGAGATTTAAAATTACATTATAGAAAATAAAAGATACAGTGTTGTCATTTATGAAGGGTTTGGAGATATTCTGTGTTGACTTCTACAAGAAATTAAGTAAATGGGTAGAGGGCTTTAGGAGGTATTCACACCAAGGTGCAGCTGTGTTAAAGGTTTCAGCGTGGTCTGCTAGTGGTGGTAAGCATGAAGTTTTTCTTTTGGGGCTTGTCTTCACCAGGATTGTCCAGTATTATCAAGCAGAAATTATACAAACTTGTAAATCAAGATATATCCTTGTGGTCAGAAGGAATGTCATGGAGCTTTAAAAAAAAAAAAACCTTTTGGAGAAATCATTTTAGAATTTTCTTAACAGGTTCTTCCTCATTATGAAGGATTTGGAAGGAACAAGCTAGGCTACTGAGGAGCAGATATTTAAAACGTTAGTGTAAACTGATGAGACTGTGTGCAGTGGTGGTGCCCTGTCAAATACATGGGTGACACCATTCTAAACACTGCTCAGTCCCATAACTAAACTCATTTTCCGCTCTATTCCTGGTGATTGACTTCATTATTACTTGTTGTTCTGTGACCCCTACATCGTTTATATTTAAGAGTTAAAAACACTTTTTAAATTGGGTGTGTGCGGGTGTGCATGTGAGAGCAAGCGCCCTTGGAGAGCAGAGGCACTGGATCTCTGGGAGCTGGAGTTCCAGGGGGCTGTGAGCCTCCTGACGTGGGTGCAGTCAACAGGTTTTCTGCAAGGACTGTACTCAGGCTTATCCAGTTTCCAGTGAACCTTCTCTCCATCCCCCAGTTTTGTTTCATATTTGTTTGTTTGTGTAATTGATCCTTAGCCGTCTAAGTGACGACTTCTGTGGTCTCAAGCCACTCATGTATCAGTGGATAGACTCACTTCTCTTCGTGTATGAAGAACTTTCTGTTATACAAAGTGTTTTTATTGAAAAATGTTGTATTGTACTTTAGAAAATCTGAAAAATGTTTTTAAGAAGAAAAATATACGAAAAACAGAACAAAACAAAAGGAAAGAAAAATATAGGGGATGAGAGATACTCAGTGATTAAGAGCAGAGTCTGCTCCTGTAAAGGACCTTGGTTTAGTTCCCAGAACCCACATGGTAGCTTACAGCCATTTATAACTCCAGTTCCTGGGGATCAAGTGCCATCTTTGGTCCTCTGTGGGTGCTTGTACACATATACATATTGAAGGCAAAAAACTCATACACAAAAATAAATATTTAAAGAGGAAAAATATGAAATAAAATGTACCATTACATGCAAATAACTAATAATACTTATATTTATTTTAAAATGTGAAAAAAAACCTTCTGAGATCAT